CAAGCGGGATGAGGAAGGTGACTGAGAGTGCTCCCCGGAGCCGACGGGGCCAGGTCAGGAAACACCCCGACCACCTTAGTCAACACAGGAAGGTCCCATGAGAGCAAGTGGCTTAGCCTTGGAGATGAGGTAAGAACGCAGATAGATTGTCTGTGTTGTAAGTCAAGCTCTCGCCTGATGAAGAAATGAAAAATGTCGACCTCGAGCCATAGGTAAGCAGGCAGGCTAGAGCTGCTTGTGAGTCTGCCAACCTGCGCAGATTGACACTGAATCTACCTTACCTCACATATGTGCTTATGTACCGGGCTCGGAGCTGAAAGTCCAAACTCTGAGCTGAAAGCATATGTGCTCGCACCGCGACAGCTCACTTACATCTGCGGTGTAGCCTTACTTTCTCCTTCGGGTGGCGCTGGCGAAGATGCTGTGTTAGGCAGCACGACTCTGCCACGTGATTCCAATCGGTATGCCTCACTAGGTATTGTCTTCTGATGCTATACTCACCATCCCTATCATCATCTCTCTTCGTACTTCCATCCTATTAGAGTGAGGCGGTCCATTCCCCTAGCTACCTACCAGTGGGTAAACAGCACAAGATACGGAGATAGGAGAAGCAGGGGCGGCAGGAACAAGATTGTGGAAGCACGTTGTGATCAGCTGTTCGGAGTTTGTTGTCAGCCGCGGACCAGCGACAACTCATTCCCCAGAGGATTCATTGCATGTTCAAGTCGATGTCGTTCATGAATCCGAACAGTCAGCAAGTCTGGTTTGTCAGCATTCAGGAAATGGCACGTTCCGAGTTGCGACATTTCATCCACAGACCACAGGGAGGAAGACTATTTGCGGGCCAAACTGGCCTACTTGCGGTCTACGGTAACTTACGTCATCCAACGAATTTCTCCACAGGGACTAACCCGACGGTAGAGGCTGCTTGTGATTGGAAGGGCGACGCGACGGACTTTACGAAATGGCCGATGACAGGCAGGGCGAGACGACTGGAAAAGTCGCCGGAGCCACTCGGCACCCTAGCAGTCCGCAGACAGCAGACCAGAACGATCGTGGAAGAACTTTGCCTTTGCCGAGTACCTTATTCCCGCAAATCCGACTCCTATGAGAGGTGAGTGACTGTGAGTGCAGAAGCAGACTGAGGGAAGGTTGTCAGTCAAATAATTAGCCGACCCCTCAACGGAAGTACCAAGCTTGAGTAGGAAATATCCCGCCGAAGCACGCATGGCTTGCGCCGGGCAGTAAACACTACCTGGAGGGTACGGATGTTTGACTAAGGCCTGGTAGGCAACTCGTACAGTCGTATCCGTACGTACGGAGTATTACTGCCAGGAAATCCCTCTTTTCCTTCCCAAGCGTGCCATGCGTGCCATGCTGAGGTGGAAAGTGGTAGGAAGGGATGGGGGTACTTACGGTATGCGGGCTTTCCTCGGTCAACACGTACCGCGACTCCCGGTGTTTGACTTACATAAGCCCAATGGCTTGGCGCGTCTGGCCTGCGGCGCCAGATGCCCTGTGCTGCAGCTTTGGCGGAGTCTGTGCGCGGTTCTGGAAGACGACCGTGACAACACACACACGGCCCTTTTTTGGTCAACCAATGGCATATTACACGTATGGTGATGCGTCCCATCTGCTGTTGTTCCCGTTTGGATGTGCTGCTGGCTTGTCATCGGCGTATCGAAATTTGGAATTCAAGAAGAGGCGCCTTCAATATTGCGAGTCTGTTCTCTCTTCACTAACGCAAGGTAGGGTTCCTGGTTAACTAGGCGTCTGTCAATATCGCATGATGGAGCGGTAGTCCGCGCGCCCTTCAGTCAGCACCACTGAGTTGACTGTAACGTTGCCCAGTCTCTCTTCTTCGACATCAAGCTTGCATCTCCGAGTGCTCAGTGCGGCTTAACGCAGCTCGACCCGTCGGAAAACATCTAGTGAACATTCCGAAGCTATCGACATACTACGATCAACCTACACCCCTACCTCCCATCCCTCCACAGGTCTGTATTGATGGAATGGGGCAATGGACTGCGGCCTAGAAAGTGCAGCGTGGACTAGGATCGTTACACCGCAGTCAACATCGTTGTGCTACCGAATGCTACCTAGCCGAATGATCCTCCAAATTACGGCTTCTTAGGCGGTTCCTACAGACCATCCATCATATCCTTACTCTATAGAGTATATACGGAAACGGAGAACGGGCGATGTGTGGCTGTGATGAGGCACTTGATCCGGTTGTATCTGGGCTAGCAACTCGTTTACTGAAGCAAAGCCAGCGTATCGATACCTTCAATGAAAAAACAAGGTTTATATATGTATGGTGTCGTTCATGGAGCTATCAGTTGAGCTGACGATCGACTTTTATACTCATCACTAATCAGTGACTGACCCTTACAGTCTGAGATATGCTACAAGCATCCTCCCGACTATCATGAAGACTTGAACAACTTGCCCCCTTTCCAGACGTGGGTAATGTTGTCCTTGTCGGTCAAAATCTCAATATCCTCGAGCGGGTTCCTCGCAACAGCAATCAAATCCGCATCATACCCTTCCCTAACCTGCCCACTCAGCGGCGCCATCCCGCCCAAGACCTCGGGCGCGTTCGCCGTGCCAGCCTCGATAGCCTCGAGAGGCGTCATGCCGTTCTTGACCGCCCAGTGCAGCTCCCGCGCATTCTTCCCGTGCGCCAGCGGCTTCGTCCGGTCGCTGCTCCACGTATCCGTCCCGAGCGCGACCTTGACGCCTCTCCCGATGGCAAGCTGATACGAGTCCGTCGCCCTCTGCACGAGCTTCACCAGCTTCCTCGCCAGCGGCGGCGGCAGCTGCGACGGGTCGGCAGCCAGCGTCATGATGGCGTGCTGCGTCGGCACAAACACGGCGTCCCGCTCCAGCATGAGGTCGACGGCCTCGTCGTCGAGGTAGCACCCGTGCTCGATGCTCTTGACGCCCGCGCGCAGCGCAGCCATGATGCCCGCTTTGCCGATGGCGTGGGCGCCCACCGCGCGCCGGCTGCGGCCCGCTTCCTCGACGATAGCCCTCAGCTCCTCGTCAGAGAACTGCCTGTCCTCCGGGTCGTCTAGCAGGCTGAGCACGCCGCCGCTGGAGCAGATCTTGATGCAGCGCGCGCCGCGGCGGACGAGGAGGCGCACCTGCTTCGTGCAGTCCTCCGGCCCGTCGGCGATGGAGCAGGCGCCGCCGCCGCATTTGGCAAAGTCGAGGACCGTCTGCATGGGGAGGGTGTGCTGGTCGCCGTGTCCGCCGCTGATGGACATGGCGGCGATGGAGGAGTAGACGTTGGGGCCCACGAGGCGGCCCGAGTCGATCCCGGGGCGGAGGTCGCCGGCGTAGCCGCCCAGTTCGCGGACCGAGGTGTAGCCTGCCATGAGGGTGGCCTCGAGGTCCTGGACGATGACGGCGCCGATGAGGGCGTTGGACCCGGGGAGGACGTTGAAGATGCCGTCGCTGAAGCCGGTGACGACGTCGATGCCGAGGAAGTGGACGTGGACGTCCCAGAGGCCCGGCATGAGGACGGGGACATGAAGGGGGGTGAGGGAGCGGTATTTGGAGGGCAGGGTGTCGCGCGGGCCGACGTGGATGATCTTGTCGTCTGAGATGGCGACGGCGGCGTCTTGTACTGGGGTGCCGCGGCCTGGGATGAGGAGGTCGGCGGTGATCAGGGTGATGGCCATTCCTGCTTCTGGCTCGTTCTGTTCTTGTTGTGAAGCCATTGTCTGGGTTTGTTGGGTGTTTAAAGGTGTAGTATCCGTTGGTTTCGGGTTTGATACAGACTGCTGCATCTCATGAGGTCGATGTGGTACACGCATCTTGAACGACTTGCACGGCGTCCAAGGACTATGGCTGTCTAGGTCCCGAGTAGATTTATTCTCAATGAAGAGATATTAGCAGGCGTACGCAATTGAGCTGAATCTGCAAACAATTAGCCAAGTTAAAGCTACTTGAGATGAACTTAGAGAGTTGCGTATCTTACATCATGAAAGTCTATGTTCGGGTCGTCATCATTTAGTCAAGTCTGAACTTGTGTGGTTTGGTGAGCGCGGGGTAGCGAATCCTGACCATTCTGCTATCCACCATGTTACCAACCTCCTCCACCCCGGTATCCGGGAAACAGGCATCGTTTTCCTGATATTGGCGCTTGAGCTGATCAATGGATTGTCGCTGCAGATACATGCAGGGGGATGCGATATAGCGGCGTGGTCTGGTAATCGACCTTCCAAATGTAGGAACGTAGAGGTAACAGCTTGAGACTGATGTATATGCCCTTCGGGTGAGCATGAATCTCATAGAGCTATTCCGTCCGCCTCTATTCTAATCAGCGTCAGTCTTAGCCTCGCGATTTCCTTGACCAACATTGTCTCTGTGATTCTCGCCCTCGCTATCCTTATCCTGCTATCATACTCCGTATCCTCGATAAATGTAGAGTACCTTGGGGCAACCAGGATGCAAGACAGCAATAGAACGCATATCGGAGGTCAATGTCTCTGGCTTTCAATTATGATTTACCCATTGTGGCCTCGTCTCGAATGCCGAGTTCAGGGTACTTTACCAGTAGATTGATCTATCGATCCAACATGTAATCAAACTTGGACTCTGAAGCTACCCCGTCATGAAGTCCGACTAGCACACCTTCGTAGGAATTAAATCCTAGGTCTGGAAAGTACATCTAGTTCCCTGAGTGACCCAGGGCCCCTGAACTGTTTCTGAGCTTCTCGAGAAATACACGAAGTCAATCATCTTGGCCTAAGCATATTGAAGGGCATTAGGGATGGAGTTTACACATCATTGTAGATGTCGAGCAAAATCAACTGCTATGAGGCAACCTCGTCCATCTCATGCGTCTCCACATAAGCTCAACCGCAAGTGCCTACGACAGGGGTACACCTCTAACAACACCTCAAGCTTCAACCACACCATAGTCCTACATCTGCGACTCAACTACAAGAACAACGTCACCCAAGTCCATCGCAACAAACACACCCTCAGAGATGAGCACCCCAGCGCGTACCCTCATCCGCCGCATCGCACACTGTACCCCGCGGCCTCTCACCTCGGCACCATCCCGGCTCTCAAAAACAGCAGCATTCCCATCGCCCTTACAAAACTTCACCCAGCAGCAGTTCGCACCACGATATCAGAGAACAATGTCAACCACAACCACCACCGCCGCGCCCACGCCGCGCTTCTCCAAGGGCTCCGACGAGTCTTCCCTCTCCTCGACGCTCCAGACGCTGCTGGGACAGGGCCGGGGCTGGGCGCTCGTCAACGACGGTGAGGCCGTCGAGCGGAGCTTCAAGTTCAAGAACTTTGCAAAGACGTGGGTGCGTATTATTATCCCATCTCTTTTCTTTACTTGCATGTCTCCGTGTGGCCAAACACCATACCATCATATTTGATGACAATTCGTCTGAGGAAACATGAAATCGACTGCTGACGAGTGAAAAGGACTTCATGACAGCCGTGAGCCTACAATGTAAGATCCACAATCATCATCCAGAGTGGTCAAACGTAAGCCCCAAACACCCTGTCCTTCTCAAGAAAATCGAGCAAGAAGTCTCCGAAACCAGAAAAGAACTAAAAACAAGAGGGCAGGTCTACAACACAACCTTTATCCGGTGGACGACACATGTTCCCAAGGGCCTGTCTGACAAGGACCTCAAGCTCGCTCTCATCTGCGACGTGCTGGCAAAGGACTTTGGCGAGGTCGAGGTGCCGGCTTCCGAGGCAACCACTGGCACAGAGGCCGTGAGCTGCGGCATCCGGGGTTTGGCTGACAAGGCGGCGGGCACGGCTGGGGACTGCTGCACGCCGAAGAAGTGATGCGGCCTCGGATAGTCAGCTTCAATTCGGACCCGAGGGCCCGGGGGGTTCAGCTACTCTCCTGATCACAAAGTCACTGTCACAACAGTCCCGTACAACAACGTGAATACATAAAGAGAGCATGCAAGCCTTACAAACTGGGTATACGAAGAACGAATGTTGTGCTATGATTAAGTAATCTACTACAATGCCAGTTATATGGGCGGCCTTCCCAATATATACGACAGAATTCGCATAAGTGGTTTCGCCTTTTCGCACAACCGTCAATACCTCTTTCAAACGCCGCCCCAATGATAATTACGTGACTTTGATGGTATGGCCTCGGTTGTCCGGGCCCGTGTCGTATCGCTTTCCCTTGCGGTATTCCTTTCCTGCCGCGTTCTATACATCGTATCATGAGACACCACCCCGCGGCCGGTGTGTCCAGCAACGCGCTCTCAACCACAATTCGTGAGCGCGTCCGTCATTCTCTTCTCCCAGGGCATACACACATGGCCATGGTGCTTGGTGATGTGCGTACTTTGTGTCGCAAAAAGGGCTTCGCAGCCGCTGCAAAAAAGCGGCTTTACTGAGACTTTTGCGCCTTGATGGCCTGGATCTTCTTCTCGCGGCGCTTCTTGTGGGCCTCAAGACCGGCCTCGGTGTCGAGGCAGTAGTCCCACCAGCGGAAGCTGGAGGCGTAGTTGCCGATGAACTTCTCGTGGTGAAGATCGTGGTGGTCGGCACCGGCCCAGAAGGGCAAGAAGTGGCGCAAGCTCCAGGGGAAGTCGTAGCCGCTGTGGGCGTCGATGGCCTGGAAGAGACGGAGGACGATCCAGGCGTACATGGTCAGGAGGTGGAGGTCGCCGGTGAGGGTGACCCAGAAGATGGGCGAGCCGACGATTCCGATGCCGAGGAGCATGACTTCGATGGGTGAGGCGTACTCTGCGGCGAGACCGAAAGGCGCGGAGTAGTAGTGGTGAAGCTTATGGATCGCCTTGTAGAGGGGGCCGTAGTGCAGGGCGCGATGGAACCAGTAGTGCCAGGTATCCTCCATGACGAAGAAGATGGAGATTTGCATGGCCATCTTCCAGAGAGGAGGGAAGGGGACGTTGTACTCCATGCCGCACCACGTGGCGAGGGGGTGGAAGAGCCAGATCTGGGGGAGTTCGACGGTGAAATGGCTGATAAGGACGGCCATGGCGCAGTCCCATTGCTCCTTGAGTGTCGGCATTTTTTGCTATTTGAGCGTCAGCGGATATGTCCGGAGTATTGTGATGACAGGGTGTGGAGGATTTGCTCACAGGTTGAATCTTGTACTTGTGGAACCAGGGGATGAGGTCGAAGATGATGAAGGGCAAACTGCGGCCAAAGTAGACGGTCTCGTGCATGACGAAGCTCATGATGCCAGTGGCGAGAGTGTCGTTTTGCATCCAGAGATACCAAGCCTAGAAGGAAGGTGTCAGTCGCATTGTAATGACATTGGTTGGCACAGGCACGCGATGAGGTGTGGACATACGGCCCAGAGGCGCTCAAAGTAGTTGAGCTGGACATTGTACTTAGACACCTCCTCGAGGACACTGAAGTACGGCTGCGTGTGGTTGAAGGCGGTGTTGATGACGGTCGAGTTGCTGTTCCGCACAATACCAGGTCAGTAACTGTTCGCTTCAAGATTGTGTTCGAGGACTATAAAGGGGGCGCGCCGTGGATCGGGGAAAGAAACGGGGCCAGACTCACATGAAAGCGGCCATGATGGCGGGGAGCGCAAGTTTGCGACTTTGTGTGCTTCAACAAGTGCGGAATTACAGATGTGTATGAGGAAAGCCAAAGTTGGCGAAGAGAAAGCTGGGAGGGAAAGAAAAGACAGTCGCAACTCCTTCAACAATGCGCCGAAGGTGGTGTTTAGGTGGCGATGGGAGGTTTAAGGGAAAAAAAGGACGGCGGGCGGCAAGGTCAAGGGTCCAGGGCCGGGTCTTGTTGAGGTTTTATCCATGGATCATTTCGGTTGACGGGGAAAGGAAATGGCACCTGCGTCTCTGGTGCTTGTCACCACATATAGAGAGAGAAAAAAACCTTCCCTTACCTACTCAAGGTGACTTAAGATTAGGTTAGTTCTGGAATTGTGCTAGGTACCTTATGAAAACGCCCCTGTGCATCTCTCACCCTTTCTGGGCGACAGCGTGGGGACGTTTAGTTGCGATTTGCCCATTCTTGTGTCATGAGCCAATGAGAAGCTGCACTTGAACATCGAACCATGCAGCTCGTGGGTCCTTCCGTCTTCCGTGGTGGGTTTTGACCAGTAGGAAGCAGGCGTGCCCTGGCCACTGGGTCGGGCGGTGTGCGAGATTTCGGGAGGCAAAAGGGTGTGTGACAGCTGCACCAGGCGTTGTTGGCTCTGCCACTCTGCCAATCGTAGGGGGGCCGAGGGGGAAAAAAGCCGAACAGGCGGGAGGCACGGGGCATGGAAACATTTCATGGATGGGACAAAGCTCCTTTCTTTCTTATGCTGCTTCTGAGCTTCCATCAAAGCCAGACACCTGGATTAAGGTACGTAGAGGTAAAGCTTCTAACGAAGCCAAGCACTTGAAGTAAGGTGGCGGTAGTCTGATTCAATGTCCACCTTTTCGAACTGGTCAGCTCTCAATTGGAGTTTTGAGTTGTGTTCAACGTCGGCATCATGTTCTCAGAAGAAGCACTTATGCATGAGAATTGCGCCCCGTCGCGGGCAATCAAAGGAGGCCGATATCAGTCATCCTCCAGGTGGGCAGGGCTGTCTTATCGCCCTGCATGGAACGCCTGGCACCTCGCACCTCGACTTTTTGGCTGCTGCGCTCACCTTAGCACTGGTACGTACCCTACCTCAACCCGAATACGATGAAGGAGGGGCACGTTTCCAGGTTGCGCGTCGCACGTCTTTGCCAAAGGAATTCGCTTTGGCCTAACGCTACCCGTTTTGCCCCCATTAGCTCCAACACAGGTGCTCAATTACACAAGCCAGAACAATCTTCAATGACAGTGACATGCTCCACGCCTCCGAATCTGCCACATCCGATTGCCGATGAGATCCATCTGACCTCCTCCACGGCGCAGCCCTGACCTAGCTGTCAAGAGACCCGGCCGTACCCACCGCTGGGACGCTCCGGCAGGGCGAAGCATGGGGTGCCGTGGATGCTCATGTCAAAATGGCGTGTTCCGGTCAAGCTTGATCCGATACGTGTCTACCTCGAAGTCTACCTCGAAAAGCCCAGCTTGGTATTGGCTGGTACTACTTGCCTTTGTATGTTTTCGATTGACGACATTTCAAAAGTCCTCATGATCCTTGCGTGTCAAGCACAGGTTGAGGCCAGGAGCTCTTGATGTCTCCTCGTCCCAAGGTACATGAATGGTGAAGCCAGACTGACAAACCCGTGCTGTTGTATCAAACAAGCCTGTGATTGCCACTGACCTGTCGTCCTTAGTAATGATTCAATAGGACTACTCCAACCTACTCCTATGTTGAACATCTGAAAGCTACTAGATCTTCAGTATCTGATGCCGGAAAGTCCTTTGCGGTCTCATATCATAAACGCAACCAAAGTGCAATATAGCCGGTGACCCCAAATACATGAGATCAGAGATCGGCCTTCCCGGTTCTTGAAAGGAATCAAGAGCCAAACATAGAAGGATGTTGTACAGCTCTTTGCGGCTACACATCAAATTGGTTATTGGCTTTCTTGAGTACAAGGTGAGTTGCGACCTCTCATGACGTGGCGTTCTAATCTCAATGTCAGCGAGGCGTTACACGTGCGAGTGACAAGCGAGATGGCTCCAGGCCGCAGATCGCCATTGCTGAATGGCATTCGTCAAGTATGTCAGTAAAGATGTCTTCAAATTTGGAATTCATATGCTCCAGCATGGCCACTGGCCACGCCTCTTTGGTGTGAAACGATCTATCTGATCTGCAAAGCTAGGCAGACCTACAGTCGGGTCGCAACTGTCTAAACATAATCAAAAGACCTCAAAGAACAGAGATGTCTTTGAAGAGCTCGATTAGCTGAGTTAAACGAAACTCTTTAGCTATATATACAGACTGGGCCTTTTCGTAAGTAAAAGCAGACGTAGGATGATTAGCTCATCCTCAGCGAGAGGCACCATTCCGACAGTCAAGCTCCGTCAGCGGCGCTGGCTGACTAAGTGACCCAAGAGACCCCACCTGTCATCCCACGTTCTCTCCAGTCGCCGCTCACCGCGTTGTCGGCTGCAGGCTCGCCCAAGTTGCCCGGGGCATTCGCTTACCTGATGACGTCTAACCCAAACTTCGACTACTGCATTCTTCCATCAAATCCATCCTCACACGACTACAATCCTCACAGTCTCGAGAGTTCGACACATAACCGATCCATGAAAGTGGAGGAGGAGCGCTCTCTGAGTGAGAAGCTATAATGTCTGTTGTTGCCGAGTCAGTATTCCGTCCCATCTTTCCTTGACTTCCCGTCATCCCAAACAAAATATTTGAATGTTGACATCAACCTTCCCTGCACCTAGCCAAGTCCGCCGCTTAGATGCGCAGCTGGATCGGATTCCACTAGGCCTGAGTCTATCTCAAGAAGATGGCGAGCTGTCTGCCGAAGAGCATGGCATTTTTCACTCGGCCACCGTAGACGCCTTGTCGTCGCCAAGAATTGAGGAGCTCCTACATATTGTTAGGGCTCTGTCCACCACCTCAACTTCGTCATCTCTACTCCCCGCTCAGAGGATTCGTTCTCTACTGCAAGAATCCAAACTTGCCGAATGGGACTTCCAAGCGGAGCAGGATGACGAGGCTAGACGAGGCCCGTACCAGTCGGAGATCGAGTGGCTGCTCGTCAGCAAGGCTACCGTTCAGACTTACGGTATCATTTTGAACACACTTCTGGATCAGATTATTCCTCTCAGTGATGAGATGTGGTACTGGGACGAAGTATTGAGCTCGTATACTTACAGCAGTCTCTACACTGTCCAAACGTCACCATTGCGTTTGTGGGCCTTGACCAAGGATGTTTATCACGAAAGCAAGCACCGAATTCAGAATCTCAGCCAAACGCCAGGCGATATTGTCGCATCCACTCGTACAGGCTTATCGCAACAATGGAAACAGTTTTACGGCATCGTACGGGACAGCATTCGGGACTCATCGATCACGACCCTTCAGCGCAAGGTCCTATCGCCTGTGGCCCTTAGCCGAGGCGAGGCTCGGAGGAAACTGGCACATCTCAGGCGTCTGCGGGATATGATTGCAAGCGGTCTTGGTGTGCTCGTCGACGAAGGTTTGACTTTTGGAGGCGACGAAGACGACGATAAGAGCGAAGCCGGCGTCAACAGCCATGACTGGAAAGGCGTGGTTGAGCGAAGCGTGGCTCTCATGGACATGGTTCTCAAGGAGGCTTTGACTCTTGAGTCTGGCGTCAACGATTTCGAGGACAAGGTGTTCGCTGGAGTCGAGGAAGACCCTGAGCTTAGCATTCACATCGAGGACGCCAACGCTCTGGAGAAGCCCTCTGTGCTCGCTAGACGTCTTCTCAACCTTCTGGATAACGGCCTCCCCAACCACGTCATGTCTGCGCAGCTGCTTGTTCAAGAGAACGGCCGCCCGTCGAGATTCATCCGATACTGGTTGCCTGCAACAGCAGCACTGCTTTCTTCGACGACTGTCCTTCGACTTCTTGCCAATAGGCGCGCAGAAATAATCAGCTGGATTCGGGATATTGGATCTACGGTACGAGACTTTTGGTTCAACTGGGTTATCGAACCGACACGCAAGATTGTTGGAACTATTCGACACGACTCGAGCAGCGAGATCGCCATCATGAGCCGAGACAGCCTGAAGGCCGATCGGGAAAGCTTGGAGCGCATGGTTGTGGACTTTGCTTTGGACAAGCCCCATTTTGCAGGTGACGGGTCCTCCCTTACCGACGCCCAGATCGAGGTTATCCGCACCAAGGTCAGCGAGGGAGATGTCACCCCGGTTTTGCGTGCGTACGAAAAGGATCTGCGGACCCCCTTTGTCGGTGCGGTGAAGGGCGACCTCGTCCGATCACTGCTCATCCAAGTGCAGAAGACCAAGGTCGACCTGGAGGTGGCCATCAGCGGCATCGACTCTCTCCTCAAGAGCCAGGAACTGGTGTTTGGGTTTGTAGGTCTGACGCCTGGTGTGCTTGTCTCTATTGGCATTGTTCAGTATCTTCGCGGCATCTTTGGTGCTCGCAAGGGAGCCCGGCAAAGCCGCAAGACTGGACAGAGCATCAGAGTGCTACGCAACATTGACCGGATCTTTTCAGAGGCGACGCCGTCTCAGAACAACCTCCTCTCCTACAAGGATCACGGCCTCCTGTTGTGCGAAGTCCACGTGCTGCGCAACTTGATGCAGAGAGTGCTACCTCGCGACAGGCAGCGTGAGTTCCTCGAGGATTTGGATGATCTTGCCAACCTGAAGGGGATTCAGGTGCAAGTTAGAGCTTTGGATCGCATTCGCTGGGCGTACGCCAGGTGGCTACAGTAAAACAACGCAGGACGGAGAACCTCGGGCGCAATAATGATTCGCATGGATACACGGTCTTACGGATTTGAGCTTCAGCATTCAGGTTACTTTACTACGCACAGCGGGAACGGCCTTTTTCGGTGGAACCTGTACCACATCTGTACACCACTGGAGGCATTCATGAATTGTCAACGGAGCATCGCACATTGGTACCGGAGCTTAGCAGGCGGCATTTGTCACTAGGAAAGGTGTTTAGACCAAAAGTCGAATTGAAGTGCAATTGAACGGGTGACGTACTGGCCAGCGAGTGAACGTGAGGGAGGCTCGACAATGTCTCTTGTGACCATGGAACGACCGCCACCCAGGATGCTCGGGCGGCGGACGCGTGACTCAGTTCTGGATGGATCTGGACCTGGACCCTGAGGCGAGACAGTGCGATGACGTTTGGTGTGGCTTCGTGGGTAGCCTCCTGAGTCCTGACAAGTCTGGCAAAGGCGGGAGACCGAGCACATTTGGCAGCAAAAGGGGTGTAGTGCCACGGCAGAGACAACGCATCAAGTTTTGAGATAACGACTAGGTTGGCGGACATTTTGTTACCTGGTGGCTGAGGTGTTGTTGGCATATCGCTTCTTTGGTGAGCGAGCCTGGTAATGCCCAGCCAGGACCGTCCACGGATGGTTGCCATCATAGAATTACGCTGAGGTGCCGCCCGTGTATTTGTTCCCCAAAATTTCACTTGGTGTTCTGCAACAGGGTGCCTGGATCGACCAGGGAAGTTTTGCTTCTTTTAACCTTTCGCTCCCCTCCGACGCAGATCCGACGTCGTCGCGTCTTTTCTCTTTGGCGGGCACTGTGCCTTGGGCAGCTTAGTAGACACCGTGAGTCGTGACTACCTTAGCTATCTGATTTCACCGAGGCCTACCTTGCCTAGTGCCGGAAGCAGTTGATTTGTGCCACTCGGGATATCAACAGCGGGCTTGATTAGAACACTTTTTCGAAGCGGGATTCGCATTGCAGCAGGTACCGGCTTTCCAGCCCAAGACCGCTGTTACCTCAAGTAGCCTGCAAAGCCCACCGCCAAGTCACCAAATCCCTCAAGCCCTGTCCCAGCATAAGCACAGGTCAAGTCGGATCGGCCAAGCAAGAGGGCCGGGTCCAGTATCTTACCCCAGACGGCAGGCGCCACACTTGACACCCCCAAAGAGACCAAGCGATTCGACGCTACCTACGTACGGGGATACGTGCCTCTTCACAGTGTGCTGGACTGTACATTGCAGCGCCTCGCCTCGTCCGCAGCCCAGCACTTTACGTGCCTACCTTCACTATTCGTACATACTACTACTATTACCGCCTACCTAACTACGACAAACTACCTAGGCCCATCTCCTACCAACATCTCAATCGCCTCTCCCCCCAACCGCTGCCCGAATCCGACGACAAGATCACGACAATCACCCTCTCATTCGCATCCTCCCGATCTCAACTCGTCTGGCACGTACGTCGCCCGGAGCAGCAATACCGCCCCCTTCAGATCGGCCCCCTCGGTTTAGTCCCCCATCAACATCCGCCGCCAAAATGTCGAGCAACCGCAACTACGACTTCCTTGTATGTGTCGAATGCCGCTGCCCCTCCTTACCATCGTCCCGCCCTTTTCGCTCAAGATGCCCTCACTCTCCTCGAACCCCGTCCTTTCGAACATCCTACTTTCCCCTTCCGCCGTGCGAATCATTATGAAGGGCAAACATGACATCGTGTTCACATGTGGCTGACCAGCACCCCAGATCAAGCTTCTGCTGATCGGCGACTCGGGCGTAGGCAAGTCCTGCTGCCTGTTGCGCTTCAGCGAAGACTCGTTCACGCCGTCCTTTATCACGACCATCGGTATTGATTTCAAGATCCGTACCATCGAGTTGGACGGCAAGCGTGTCAAGCTCCAGATTTGGGATACCGCCGGCCAAGAGCGCTTCCGCACAATCACCACCGCCTACTACCGTGGTGCCATGGGCATTCTCCTTGTCTACGATGTCACCGACGAGCGCTCCTTCAACAGTACGTCGTTTCCCTTCGCTTACATTGGGACTCACTTGCACGATTACTGGCGGTTCTGTCTCGAACCGTGTACTGCAGTTGCCATTGCAAATGGAGCCGTACATGATAGGACAGACATATGAGAACAAAAGACTAATGTGTACTTTTCCCACGCAGACATCCGCACCTGGTTCGCCAACGTCGAGCAACATGCCACCGAGGGCGTCAACAAGATTCTCATCGGCAACAAGTGCGATTGGGAAGAGAAGCGTGTCGTCTCGACCGAGCGCGGTCAGCAGCTCGCCGACGAGCTCGGCATCCCCTTCCTCGAGGTCTCAGCCAAGAGCAACATCAACATCGACAAGGCCTTTTACTCACTCGCCGCCGATATCAAGAAGCGTCTAATCGACAACCAGAAGAACGAGCAACCCGCTGCCTCGGGCGTTAACGTCGGCGAGTCAAGTGGAGCCGGCGGAAAGTGCTGCTAAAGTAACGGAACGGGGCTTGGGCACGGGACCGCTCGATTTCAATGTTGTGTGTATTTTCTGAAAGCAAGATTTGATTACTTTGTGTCGATTCCGCGCTGCCGCCGGGGACAGCGACGTCCTACAGAGGCACATGAAGACGCGCATGGAAGGAGAGAGAGACATTGGCATATGGGGCTTCACAGCGGGTCTGCCCGCCGGAAAGGACACGCAGAGAAACTCGGTGAGAGAGAGGAGGACATGACAGGGGCCAAGCGAGAGGCAGGACCGGGGCTTCCGGCGAGGCAATTGGCCGAGAAAGTGAAAAACTTGGTGATGGGCCCGACCGGCTGGGCGTGCGTTGTGTGTGTGCTCGATGACGAGAAACACCGCGGGCGCTCTCTCGCTCACCAGCCTGCCCTCAAGCCCCCCTTCCTACGGGGAGAAGTATTTGTCATATGGTTTCTTGCCGACAGCGCCTTTTTATCGAACCCCCCTAGAGAGCAAATATCTGGTCTGGAGTTTCGGGATTTTCTTTCTGGGTTTTTATAATACATCGTTTTTTTCCCTCTCCCGTGCTCCAAATATGCTTGTTTGGCCTTTATTGATGTACACATGCTCCCGGGTATATCTTACAAAGAGTTACTATACACTTTTTATCGACGGTCGCTGCTACTTGCGACATTTACCACACTACGTGCGTGTTTACGATTACGCTCTGATCATTCGTCAGGATAAGCTCCTTTTTGTGCCACGCGCGAACGAAGCGCCTCGCTTCGTGCGCGTCCGGGAACGACACCACGAACCGGCCGGACGGGGCCGTTTCGTCCAGCGCGTCGGGGGTGGTGCCTCTCCGTCCCGAGTCGCCCTCCGTCACCGCCGGAGCCGCATCGTCTTCGTCGTAGACGAGGCCCTCCCCGGTCTCCGTAAGCTTTTCCGCCTTCGTCGCGGTTCTTTGGTGCACCTTGGGCGCAAAGTACGGACGCAGGTGCTGCACCGGCCAGCCCAGGTTGCGGTCGCGGGCGTCACGGCGGATCCAGTGGGAGAGGCTGCGCTGGTCGAGGGTGCCGCCGTCGAGGGAGAGGACAACGTGGGCGTTTGCGCGCGGGGGCGGTTCGGGGGTCATGCTGAGGAGGCCTTGGATGCTGAAAGTCTCGAGGCGGGCCTCGGTAGCGCGGTTGAGTTTGTAGAGGTGGAGGTTTAGGGGCGTCTTGGAGGGGGGTGCGAGGCTAAAGACTGATGTTTGGGAGGATGCGGAAGAGGTTTCTGCGGGCGTCAGGCCGGCGGCGGGGGACGCGAGGGCGCGGCCGGCGAGGGCGTGGAGGCGTTGCGCTTCGCGCTGGTACGCTGCTGCCGCGGCGTGGGAGTCAAAGAGGATGAAGTAGCGGTCCATGGGTGCCAGGGTGCCGTAGTCGTAGGCCTGCATGACCTTGGTGATGGAGGCGCTCCAGCCGTCGAGGTGCTGGCCCTGGGGGCCGATGCGGTAGAAGTCGGACTCCATGAGATTCGGGCTGGCGTTGGAGAGGATGAGCATGGCGGAGCGCTCGGCCTTGGCCGCTGCCGCCTCCTCTGGGGATGCTGCTTCCGAGGAAGCGGTGTCGGCGGCGGCGTCGTCTTTCGGAAGGGAGTCGAGCCAGGATTGGAGATCGTTGTGATCTACAGATCGCTCTTCGGATGAGTTCTGGCCGGCCTGAGATTTCCTCAACAAGGCCTCGACGCCACCTTTGCCCAGCACTGCTTCCGCCGCCGACTCTGCTTCTCCCGATCCCGGGGACGAGAAGAGCTCGTTGAAGATGGAGGAGCTCTCTCCGTCGGCGGCCTTGTCCTTTTTCTTCTTTTCACGCGCGCTCAACTCGAAAAAGTCTGCAATCTTGCCGGCCGCCTCGCCTCCTGTCTTGCTGGATTTGTTCTTGCGCTCCAGTTGCCTTAGTCTGTACTCTGTCGCCTCGGACTTTTCCGGGTCGGTGGAGGTCAGGAACCGGACCTTGACCTTGCCCTTGCCTTCTCCATCGTCCTGTTCGCCGGCCCGACGACTCGGGTGAGAGTAAATGTCATCGTTTGGGAATAGCTCCTCGAAAAGCGAAGGCGGCTTTGCCTTGGGCTCCTCTCTCCGTGACGGTTTCTTCTTGCCCCATTTATCGTCGGGTGAGCTGCGCTGGGATTGGGTCGAGAAGAGTCGTTTGCCAGGGCCGTGGTCTGCGCGAAAGAACCGTCGGAGTGTAGGTGCTGGCGTCTGTGGTAACGGCAGCTGCTGTAACAGCGGGAGCCGTCGTCGGGCTGCGATTGTGGTCATCCGGGCAACTCTGAGGGTCGAGCTGCGCAGCCCTCGAAGGTCAGCCCATTGCATGGGCCCGGAGGGACTTGGACTTCGTCGGGTCGGGTTAGAGGATGTAGGGAGAGAGGCTTCACGTATTTCGGTCGGGGTGTGTAGCTGAGACTTCTGTGGTTGAGGTGGTGAAGGCTGCTATAAGTGAAGAAAGAAGTTGAGATGCTGGACCTAACTTTCTTCCGCGCTGCAATGCGACGTTG